GTTGATCACCAGAAAATGGAGGGAAAGGTATGGAGCAGAAACCAGCTATAGATATAGATATATAGCTGAATGTATATGTATATGTGCATATATATACACATTTGTATATATACACATTTATATGTATATATACGTACATATATATGTATATACATGTAGTTCCTGCATGTGTTAGGTACTGTGTTAAGTGCTTTACAGATATTATCTCAATTTGATCCTCACAACAACTCTTCCAGATAGGTGCTATTTTCCCCATTTTACAGTTGAAAAATCTAAGACAAACAGAGGTTAAGTGATTTGCCCAGGGTCACTTAGTAAGTTTCTGAAGCCAGATTTAAATAGATTTTTTGTGATTCAATACCTAGCTCTTTGTCCACTGTACCACTTATCTGTATTACAATAAAGTAGTAGGAATAAATGATTGAATTTTTATCTTCAGAGCACTGTACCAAGTTCTGGAGATATTAAAAAAAAAAAAGTGGAGACAGTGTCTGCTTTCACATTCTGATGGGGGAGCCAATGCATATAACAAATTTTAAGTGCAAGTCAGAAAGAAAGATCCCATGATCCTTAGGGTAAAGCAGCAAGAAGAATGACAGGGCATTTTTAATATCATTTCTTCTGATTAAGTAAAAATCTATTTCAGAATTCAAATCATTTGGCAGTGCTAAGGATTTTGGTGTCACTTTCTTTTCTGGGGCCGTCCATATTTGGGTTCTTGGCTTTGGTACTTGCTGAAGTAGTTGTCAGGGTCCCAGCTCCATCAGGGATGCTTTCTGGGATACTACAGTACCAGAAAAGCCATTATCTTGAGTATACATTGAAGTGAATGGTAACAAAATGCAATGTAATAGGGATAGTGAATAGGAATAATTAGATTACATGTAGGAGGAAATTTCCTCCAGTGCCAGTTTGTAGTTTCTCTGCAGCTTGTAGTCTAGGAGAGTTCCTTAGAAGCACTGAGAGTTTTAAGTGACTTGCCCAGATTCACACAGTGTGTGTGTCAAAGGCACCAACTGGCTGTCTTTCAATTCTGTCATACTGTAATAGGAGAAAACAACAACAGTAAAAACAAACAAACTATTCATTAGCTTTGCGTAAAGTGTACATTTTGAATGTTTATTTATGGAGCATAGATTTTTTTTTAGACAATAGAGTTCCAAATCTGCTTTTTATGGGCTTTCCTCCATCATATCACCTCCCCCATTCCCATTTATAGGCAACTTTCTCCTGACCTTTATCCCAGCTTTATCTGCAGTCTGTGAAGTTATTCCTTTCTAGCCAACCAATATTTGAACATTTGGGGTGTGTGGATTTTCGGTCTTTCATCTGTTCCTAACAAAACTGTGAGGTTTCTTGTTTTGCTGGTAAGGAATAACTTGGCTTTGTGAGATATCAGTGGCTCAGCAGGGACTTAGTGCATTTGTTGTAATTATTGTGAGTATCTTAATGTCTCAAAAGAAAAGTGTTATAGGCCTTTATGTAGGCATCAGCTCTTTCCCTTCTCTAGAGCAATGGATTCAGATGAGAGACAGTTGTAGAATATTGAAGAGACTTGGTGTTTTAGAAGCACTGTAGTTCCAGCTAACTGATGAAATTTTTGTAATGAATTCTCCATAGTATTCTAAGTGACAGAACAAAGAGACCATAGAGAACCTAGAAAGAAAATCATAAAGGGAGAAAAGCTTGTAGGGGAAATCTGTACACAGTTAATGTAGTCCTTTTCAACATTAGGCTTGTCATAGGTCTGTTCTAATGGAAATGAAAAAAGAAAAAAAAATTCCCATCTCCACACCCTACCCAGTCTCCTTTTATCTTTATAAGGTACCCATAGTACACATGTTTTCTTTCCTGTGAAGGCTTTTGAAGTCTCCTTTAATAATTAAAGTAGAGAAATTTGAAATCTTGAATGACTCTTGATTCTTTTATATAAAATTTGATATGACAGTAGACTATTTCACAGTACACTGTGTACTGAAACTGTAACATTAATTAGTAAATTTGTCCTATGAATCTGATAAAAATGCATAGCAGGTCTTGGCCAAACTTTATTGAAACTAATTATTTCAACATTGTTATGGTGCTCTTCTCCTCAAGTATTGAACTGTGACTCCATGGAGTATGTTTATCATCAGACTCACTCAGCAAAAGCCTGCTACCACAAAGTCACTTGGGGAACTTTGCAAAGGTCTTAAACTTTCATATATCTCAGCTTATTAATCTGTGAAGAGGAGAAACATCATTGCTTCTAGGTATTTGGAGCATTAATTGGATAATTTAATTGAGCTCCTTGATTTTAATTAAAATGCAATTAAGTTTATTGCAGAGAGAAGTAAGCACTTCCCTGTGAAACACTGATTTTGAGTCACTGGTTATCCTTATTATGCATTACTTATTGCACCAGTGTGTACTTAATATTTTTCTTTTCTTTGGTGGTGAAGAGAAAATAAAAGTTCTACTCTGTCTACTTGAGGTAGGGGCACTGGCTTTGAGTTCTCAAAGACTAGGCTAATGGAGTGCCTATTTGAATTGGTCCTACACACAAAGGAGGAATATTTGTCTGCCATTTGAAGGTGTTTCAAAGACTCCCTCATCATCAGTAGGCTGATCATCAGATGATGAAGTTTGGGGATAGAGAAGCTCAGAAATACCATCTGCAAAGACCTAGAAGGGTTGTGATTTGTGTTGTTGGATGGAGTACCCAGATGAGCAAAATCATAGAGCTTTGGAAGCACTGCTATATTTAGTGGCAAAAATTACAGGGAATAATACTAGCATTACTAATTAATAAAATAACCCTTTGCTGTAAGTCCTTAAGAATTTAAGGAGATACACATAAACACACATATGGAAAGAGAGACACTGTGACATATCTATCTATTGGTCTATTTCTATATCTTGTTTTCATAGTGCCTGCGTTTCTTAATATATCTCTCCCATCTCCTGCTCCCATAGAGCATCTGTTATAACAAGCAGAGGAAAAAAAGGGGAAAAAAAGTTTGGTAAAATTAACACATGTAGAGGTTCCATACCCCTGGTACACTTTGCAAAAAAGGTAAGGGGATACTTTTTTATGTCTTTTCTTTGAGACTAAGCTTGATCATTATAATTTCATATCTTTCAGTTTTGATTGATGTGTTGTGTGTCCTTTCCATTTGCATTGTTGTAGTCACTGTGTATCTTGTTTTCCTGGTCTATTTACTTTGATCAGTTCTTAAATTCTTTTCTTAGTGACTCCTCGTTTCTCCAACATACACTATATTTCCCCCTTTTCTTCTTTTGCTAAGAATACCTCCCTGAATCTAACATCTCTACCTTCTTGAACAGCTACCCGTTATTCAAGGCCCAGCTCAGATGTTTCATCCTTCATGAAGCTTACTATGATTCTTGTCATACCAAACTAAAACTGACCTCTTCCTTCTCTGGTTCTTATAGTACTTTGAACTTTTCATATAACATTTATCATATTGTAGCTTATCTTATAGTTTTTATGTGTACATGTCTCTTCTTTTTAAGGGTAAGTTTCTTGAGGTCAGGAATTCATGTCTTAATCATTTTCTTTATTTTAAACCAAAGAACCTAGCAAAGTGTTTTGCATATAGCAAGCCCTCAGTAAATATTTGTTGAATAAATAAATACTCAATAATTTAAAGTTCTGGAATAGCTTCAGTGCCCACAGGTTTTTTTTTTCAAAGCAGTCTTAACAATTCCTGGTTAAGTGACAACTCGATAGCAGAAGTTTAATAGGAGAATAATATTAGGGCAAGAAAAAGCGGATAAAACAGCTTTTGATATATAAGGGTAATATGACTAGTTCCATTCTGTTCCCCTTTCTTCTCCTCCCCCCCCCGTTATTTAGTGTGGGTAAAGTGTTTATCATGAACTTATACATACATACATACATACATACACAAATGTATACATACATATATATATGTATGTATAATATGTTTACAAAAAACTTTATTTTAAAACTTTGCTAAAATACTGTTATACCTAAAACTGTGAGGACTGCTACTGGGAATGTAAGGAAGATAATTACTTTCTTTGAGGATATTAAATTTTCATTATTTACTTTCATTATCTGGGCCCAAATTGAGCCTTTAAAGACAGGGTTTCAGAGTTTAAGCTATTGCTGAACTTTTATCAAGTAAACAAAGAACATTTTTTTGAAAAATTACTGCATAGTAAAGTTATGGGGGGAGAGCAATGGAATGGTTTTATTCAACTGAAAAAAGCATCTAGTACTTTTTTGATCCTGAAGTGTCTTCTGAATTGGCAGAGAAAAATTGAATTATGGTTAATAAGGCCTTTGAGATCATGCATTCTTCTGTATGTGTGTGCATGCAGCTGGGGGCAATGGAGAGATGAATGTAGGTAGCATTATTAAGCACTTAGTAAAAAACACTGGCTAATTGCTGAGGATACAGATAGAAAAATAAAATAAGCGCTGCTCTCAAGGAGCTTAATGTTCTAATGGAGGATACAATATGTGTGAAAGGTTTCAGCTACAATCTCACAGTGCTTAGTAGTAAAATAGATGTTGGTGCTTCTTTAGTGCCATTTCCACTGATAATATCCTGTCAGTTTCTCATGTTGAGCTATTCAAGTGTTGAGGACTTTGGTGGCAAAAGATTTCTTTTCTGGGTCTTCAGTAGCAGCTTCTGAAGAGGGAGTTTCCAGGTTGCATCTTCACAAGGGTTTCTTCCTAGCATGATGGCTGAGGGAAGCACTCCTTTTCCCAAGACTTTTGGGGTCAGGGTCTTAGGCTATCTCCATCAGAGTCCAAGGGGTAATGGTGATTAAGGTCATTTTACTTCCCTGGCATATGCTACCCCTGATCTCTCCTTCCTTGATACTTCAGTTAAACTGGCTTGCCTGCCCTGAGGGTGGCAGTTGGTTGGCAGTTGGTTACAACTGTCATAATTGCACAGTGAGTGCAAGCAGGATCTAGTATAATGCATTATAATGATTTTCTTACAAAAGTTTTATTAAAATCATAATGTCTTTATACTCCATTCAGAGATTCATAGAGCCATGCTCAATAACATATTTGACGGTATTTTAATTTCCCATAAGTCTTAATCTATTTTGTCATGAAGTGTTTCTTTTAAAGTTTTGTGAATGCAGACTCCCATCAGCCAAAGTCCAATTTATCATTTTTTCTGAGTGGATTGAATTCAGAGAGCATAATTGCCTATCAAAGAATTTCACCTGTAATAAAAATTACCATTTGTATGGCATTTTGAAGTTAGCACAATGTTTTTATCTGCTGTTTTAGTGTTTGTTGATAATACAGTGCTGCACGCAGTGGGCACTCAATGATGTCATTAACTAACTGCTCCCCGTAACTGAAATAAAAGATGGTGAATCCACTTGCGTGAAAATAATACTGGGGAAACTGAAACATGTGGTCCTGTAATTCTAGTTTGAGCTTATCCATTTTAATAGGATCTCTAGTCCCTGATCTATACATAGAAATAATTTTATTGAATTTATACAACCTTGGCTAAAAAATATGATCACAACATACACATACACGCAAGACTAGTATACCCTGCTTTGTATGTTAAGTATGTTTTTACAAAGTTACATATAGATACCTGTTTTGGTTGTTGTTGAGTCTGGTCATATTTTAACTGTATTTTATGAACTATGTGCAGAATTTGGACTTGAGAGACATGAGGGCACCATTCACCTGCTGCATCAGAGAAAGTATGTGAAAGCTATGATTTTTGAGCACTGACAGCAGTAAGATGCATAGAAAAGAAATAGCATACTTCTTGAAGTTATAAGTCTTTGTTAATTTTTTTTTCATTTGACCTGAATGAAATGTTAAGTCAGTATTAAACATTTATTACATGTCTAGGTTCTGTGGGGTCACATGAGAGGTAGAAAGTTATAGTTCCTTCTCTCCAGTTTACAATCCTATTGGTAGGATAATATATATGAAAGCGTATAAGAATATTGTAGGGCAACATATAACCAAATGCTCAATCTTGTAATACCAACTCTAAGTGATAAAGGGATTTAGATAAGGTTAAAAAAAAAGTCCTGCGGGCTAGGATGATTTGGAAGGAAGAAAGGAAACTAGCATTTGTATAGTACCTAGTATGTGCCACGCATTCTGCTAAATGCATTGATCCTCTCAACAATTCTGTAAGGTAGATGTTTGTTATCCTCATTTTACAATCAAAGAAACTGAGGCGGACAGCAGTTGAGTAACTTGCCCAGGATCATACATCTAGTAAGTGTCTGAGGTCACATTTGAGCTCTGGTCTTTGTGACTCCAGGCCCAGTGCTCTATCCACTGTGCCACTTAGCTGCTCCAAATTCAATTTAGTTTGGGAAGGTTTTATAGAGGAAGTGGGATCTGGGCTGGGCTTTTAAGGATAGGTAAGATTTGGATCATTAAGCAAAGGAAAATGACATCAAAAGTGGCAGGGATAAGATGAGAGGAGAATAAAATATTCTTGGTTAGCGTCTGAGAAAGGAGGCAAGAAGAGAGGGATCGTAAAAAGACTAGGATGGATGGGAAGAAAAATTAAATGAAACATTGTTTATTTATAAGTCCATTGGAATAAGGCCTTGAATGATATTCAGAGAGAAAGGACATAATTAATAGGCACTAGAGACCCACTACAGGTTCTAAAGCAGGGAGGAAAATAAACATAAGAAAAAAAAATGAGAGTGGAATCTTTTTGAATGTTGGAAGTTGTATGAAAGATGGACTGGATGAGGCAAAGAACATAAACCAAGGTATCAAATAAGGCAGTAGTATGGAGCCTGGACTAATTTCAGAATGAGGAAGAGAACTATGTGAAGTATTACACAGGAAGAATCAACAGATTGACTTGGTCATGATGCTGGATGAAGGGATCAAATTTGCATTAATTATTTAATTTTATATTTTTGATAAGATTCGTGTAAGTACTCTTTTTTTCTTGACTTCCTAATTGTGAAATTCTGAAATCCACTTATTAAAGTTACTAGCTATTTGTTTAGTATATTTCTCTCCTGTTTTGCCTGGATATTGCAATGTTTGCAGTAATATCTGTTGACTGACTCTGGGACACCTAAGACATGAATCAATTTAATTAATTAGTAAATAAGTTAATTTGATAAATAAAATCTTATTTGAGTAAGCAGAATGTAGGTGTAACTTTAAAAGAAATTTAATGTAATTTTTTTTTTTTTACTAAATGATAGGGATTAAAGACAGGATGGAGGTTCAAACATGGTATTTGAAAACATCAAAATTAGCTGTGGCACTAGCAATTATCCGTTCAAAACCACCAGACAGAAATAGCAGAGAATATACAGAGCATCTTGCTAAGATGTTATCTGGACAAGATGGAGAATGGAGATCAAAAGTCGAAGCTTTGGAAACTGAAGTTCTGCAATTACGTCAAAAACTTCTTTTGAGCCAGATCTGTCCAAGACCTTATGTAAAGAATGGTAAGTATGTGTAGTCATTTTTTGAGTAATATATAAACCTAATTTGTTGTGGCTGTGGAGATAAACTGCAAAGCATTTCTAAAACACGAAGTTGAGTTGTTAATGCTTGTCCAGTAGAAAAAACAACTGATTAATCAGTTAAGAACTACCATGTTTATGAAGCAGCTACCCCTTGCAAAGTATATAACCTATGTAAGTGATATTTTAAGAATACTAGAGTAGTTCATTTACAAGAAATAAAAATTAAAAAAGGAACAGCTCCACATAGCTTAAGACAATGTGTTTTTTTTTTAACCTATGTTTTTTTTTTTAAGGAATACTTTGGAGAATAATTTTTAGTCTCTGGAGACAGTCATTTGAAAGCTGGATGACCATTTGTTGGGGATATTTTAAAAATAGATGCCTGCTTCAGGTATAGAAGTTGGGCTAGGTCGACCTTTGCGATTCCTTTTAACTCCAAGATGCTGTGGCTGTAGTTTCCGTTTTATGACTCTATGGACTTTACCTTTTATCTAAAGAGAACTGAAGATGTGGGAGTATATCAGGTGTCATACAGAAAATATGAGGTGAAACCTCTGACAAGCCATACCACACAGAGAGGTTGAATGGCTTGTTAAAACCAGCAGCTAATGTCTACAAAGCAAAGGTGAATTCTTCCCCCCTGACCCCTACCACAAGTAGTGTGGGGAAAGGAGGACTGATGATTTGCTGGTCACATGTGTTTCTTTTCAACTACATTTGCATACCATGTTAGAAGCCTCATCTCTGAAAGCTTATCGCCATCTTTTTCTTTCTTAATTATGCACATGTTATTGCCAAAGATGATGTCTTTAGGCATATGCTATATTGTGGTTCTGTTTAGTCTAAGTTCTGAAGGCTAATAGCTCAATTGGGCCCTTATTGCAATGTGTGATAATATTGATTATGGAATACCATAGATAATTCTGCAAATAATAACTGACAAATATAGGCCTTTAAGGTTTTGGAAACACTACATTATCTCCTTGGAAATTATACCACTTGTTAGGAGCAACTAGGTGGTGCAGTGGAAAGAGCACCAGCCCTGAAGTCAGGAGGACCTGAGTTGAAATCCAGCCTCAGACCAAACACTTGACACTTACTAGCTGTGTGACCCTGGGCAAGTCACTTAACTCCAATTGCCTTAAAAAAAAATTAGACCACTTGTGTCTTACTACAGGTCACTCACCTCAACTACATACTTTGCTGTATTAAGATCAGCAATTAGATCATATGCCCTTACTTATTAACTAAACATGACACTTGAGTGTAGCCTTGTGTTCTCCACAATGGGAGATGAGAAATACAGACTGATAGCTTGGTCAGAGCCCAAAGGGGCTTGCACTCTAGTAGGGAGATATGATCAAAACCTATAAAACCTATAAAACAATGAATTCTAAACTTACATTTTTAAGTAAGTGCTAACTATGAGCTAATATGGAATAATTGCTACTTTTTGCTAATGTCTCCCTGTTCCTTTGTTTACTACATTGAGTTAAACCTTTGGTCTTAAGAGCCATAAATGACAGCAATAAGCAAGCCATTAGGAAAAACTAGTCCAGTAATCAGATATCAGTGCAGACATTCTCTACTGATTATGCAATTGTTGTTGAGCATTAATTATGGCATCTATATTTGTTGTAACTAAATACTGAATGTTGCCCTAATTTCCATACCAGGAAGCCATTGTGAAGAAAAACATAATTTTTCACTTGCGTATACTTTTGTTATTTAGGCACATTATTTAGTTAAATAAGATGTTTTTTATTTCTAGGCATTAATGCCTTTTGGAAATAGCAAAATGCTTTTTATTTCATAAATATATATATATGAATATTATTTTTACATTCTATTGAAAGTACATTTGCTCAACTAACAAAATTAGACTGAAACCTATTATTGGGTCAAAGGAAATAAGCAGCTATTAAGAACTTACTGTGCTAGGCACTGTGCTTAGTTTTCTGGGTATACAAAGAAAGACAAAAATTACCCTTGCCCTAAAATAACTCAAAATCTAATAGGGGAAGGACCATCATACAAACAACTATGTGGAAATAAGAAATATAATAAATTAGAGATTAACTAAAGATTATATCTATGAAAGAATAAATTACGATATAATTAGGATCTTCTTTAGGATTATTCTTAAGGTTATTCTTAGGATGTTAGATTATTCCTCTAATAAGGATAAATTAGAGATAATTCAAGAGGGAAGGCACTAGCATTGAGGAAGATCTGGAAAGATAAAAGGTCTTATTGAAGCCAACAAATGCTAAGCTTTGATATCAGAAATGTAAATGACATTAATTCATATTTCTGTCTTGCTAAAAGATATAAACTGCTCTTCGGTCTTTGACTATGTTAACTTAAGTGCCTCCCCTCTGTAATAATGTGACTAATTTGAAAATACCATCTAAGGGGATTAAGTGTCCCGATACAGTTCATTATAAACCTGAGCAGTGTCACAGTGTAGTTATTGTGTAAGGCTTACACATGTATATGTGCAAATGTTTGTATATGTGTGTATATATGCATCCATATACATGTGTAATACACAAAGAGCTTCAGTAATATCATCATTTCTATTAACTCTACATATGCAAAGACCTTTAAGAAAACATTAAAGTGAAATTCTGCATGTATATCATCTACAGAGTTCAAGCAGTTTGCAAGTTTTAGAACCTTGATCTCCTGATATTATCTAGTGTTTTTTTTCCATGATATCATACAGCCTTATCTATATGTATGCGAATATAGATACATGTACTGTGGACATAGCAATTACTTGGTTTGAGAATTATCGGGAGAACCTGCTAACTTAATATCCAGATGTTACTATGACTCCATTACTATGTGAGTGAAAATAGTATTACAAGATTTATGACCACATTCTAATCTCTCTAGAGCCTTTAATGTTGTAGGTAATTGGGTTATTTGAGTTTATCAGTGAATGGCAAATGTAATACATTTTTCTTAAATTCTTTACTATATTTTGGGAACAATGAAATTTATATAAAATGTTTCTGTAAGCTTAAAAAGTGTTATAATAATGCCCAGCAATGATAATAAAATTCTTGCTTATTGTTATGAGGCCATTTAATAACATTAATACATTATGATGGAATGTTCACTACTTTAGAACATAACTGCTCTAATCATAAGAGTATGTTTTTCCACTGAAGTCTTTTCATTTACAGTGCCTGTGAGAAAAATTTACCCATATCACATAATTAAAATCAGTTTTCTTCACAGCAGGAACTAAAGGTAAAGTGTTTAAGTTCAGATGTTTGGTGATAATCTAACTTGCCATCTGCGAAGTTAAATTTCATGTATAAGGAAGGAATGGCCAAATTTAGACAGGTAGTTTAAATAGTTTTCAAAAGAGCAAAATAAAATGTTAAAAAAGACTGTCTGAGCAGATGAACATTGAAAGAGGTAAATAATTGCATCAGTATTTTAAGAGAGAAAATTGTAATAATTGACATCTATTCTCCATCAAGCCAGATACTTTACCCAACCCCTTTTCAAATTCCTTTTTTATGCTATCTTTCCCCATTAGATTGTAAGCTCGCTAAAGGCAAGGAACTGTCTTTTTCCTTTCTCTGTATCCCTAGTGCTTAGTACAGTGCCGGGCACATAATAAATGTTTGTTAACTGACTATACACTAATCATGTAGTGCTTTGTGGTTTTAAATACATTTTTGTTTGATATTCACAACAACATTTTGAGGTAGGTGATATAGGTATATCAAGGAATAGCAAATATAATACATTTGAATCATGCAGTTATTTTAAGCAAAAGGAAGATCAAAACCCAGCCCAGGCCACAAAAATCACAGAATTTGAGAGTTGGAAGGGCCCTTAACTACCATCTTGTCCAACTCATACACAAAAGGACTCTTCATGGCTCCTGCTTTTGAAGGCTTCTAAAACAATTCATTGCCTTTCAAGGTAGCCTTTTTCACTTTTGAACAGCTGTGATTTGGGGGAAGTTTTTCATTACCTCAAGCCTAAATAGGTGGAAACCTATTACTTCACTTTTGGCCTTCTGGAGCCTAACACAATAATTCTAATCCCATTGATATATAACTGCCCTTCACATACTTAAGACAGCTTTCAAGTCCCACCCCCAACCCCTTCCTTTTCCTCATGCTAAGTATGTCCATTTCCTTCAGTGGATCCCTATGGAATCCAGGCCTTTTAACCATCCTTGTTCCTTTCTTCGGGATACTTTTTTAGTTTATTATAGTCCTTGTTGATCTGTGTTGCCCAGAATTGAACAGAATGTTCCAGATGAGGTATGATGAGGGCAAAAATGTGTTAGAACTATCACCTTCCTATTCCAAGAAGATATGCATTTTAATGCAGCTCTTGTTCATGTTATCTTTTCTGGCCACCATATAACATATTAGACTTGCAACCTACTGCAGGTGGACTTTTTTCAGAATAATGGTTCTCTGTCCATGCATCCCCTATCTTTTACTTGTGAAGTCGATTTTTGTACCTAAGTGCAAGACTACTTTGTATCCCTGTTGAATTTCATCTTATTAAGATTCTGTCTAGTATTCTAATCTAGAAGTGGGCCAACTATGGCCTGTGGTCCAAATCTGATGTTGCCTGTTTTTGTATGTTCTCTGGGCTAAGAATAGATTCTATATTTTAAAATAAAGATGTATTGTATTTAAAGATGTAAAAAGAAAAATTCTTAGCTCACCAGCAATACAAAAAGACCAACTGAATTTGGCTCTCAAGTTTGCCAGCTGTTTCTCTAATTTAAAGAATACAAGACCAAGCTTAGATCCCTGGGATACTTCAGTGGATACCTCTTACAAGGCTGACATGAGGCCATTACCAAATGCTCTTTGTGTCCAGTCATTAAACTAGTTTTTAATTTGTCTTATTCTATTATCATCTAATTCATATCTTGCCACCTTTTCCGCAGGACTAGAATGAGATACTTTGTTTAAATGTTTCATTAAAAT